CACTCCGCAACCCGATCTGCCGGATTTGCTGCGTCATCAGATTTCTTCTCGGCCTCGGCCTCGGCCGAGGGGACCAGGGTTTCCGGCGACAAGGCGACCTTACCTGTGGTCTCCCCAAGAAGCCCGAAGCTTCCGGAGTTGGAGAAGCTCCTGGCGGCCATGATGAAGAAGTGCGGCCATATCTTGTCGAAACTGATGAAGCACAAGAAGAGCGTTTGGTTCAACTCGCCGGTGGACGTCGTCGGGATGGGCCTCCATGACTATCACCAGATCATCAAGAGCCCGATGGACCTTGGGACGGTGAAGAAGAAGCTCAATGATGGCCTCTACCCGTCACCATTGGAGTTCGCATCTGACATCCGATTAACCTTCAACAACGCCTTGCTTTACAATCCGAAGGGGCATGAGGTGCACAAGCTCGCCGACCAGTTCCTTCGACACTTTGAGGGGCTGTTTAGGCCTGTCTACCAGACGTACGAGAAGCAGCGAAGCACCATGAAGCGTGAAGAGGTTCCTGATCCGCCGCCGCCACCGTCGCCGATCCCAGAAATCCCATCACCGGTGCCGGTTTCTCCTCCTGTGATTCATCCGCAGAACCAGCTACAGCCGCTGCAGCAGCAATCAAATGTCGTGCGGACGACGCCGGGAAAGCTGCCGAAGCCCAAAGCGAAGGACCCCGACAAGAGACCAATGAGCTTCCACGAGAAGCATAGGCTGAGCGAGGGGTTGCAGAGCCTGCCGCCGGAGAGAATGGCTCACGTTCTGCACATTGTGAGGAAGGGCAACGTGGACGCGATGCAGAGCGGGGATGAGATCGAGTTGGACATCGATGCGTTAGACACGGAGACCCTTTGGGCGCTCGATCGATTCTTGTGCAATTGCAAGAAGCTGATGAGCAAGATGAAGAGGCAGGAAGCAATTGCGAGCGGGCTGTTGTCCGCTGGCCATTCTGTGGTCGCTGCCCCTGCCCTGATTCCAGATGAAGGCGGTGGTGGTGGTGAGCGGGTAATGACGAGGATACCTTCTGCTCAATTCCAATGCGTCTCTTGGTGAATGCTTTTGCTCATACCATTGTCACCTCTCTTTGCAGTCTCCAGTGTTTGACGACGAAACGCCTGAAGCAGTTGCAGCGAAGAAGAGCAAGAAAGGAGACACAGCTGAGGAAGACGTCGACATCGGCGACGAATTGCCCGCCATTACTTATCCTTCGTTGGAAATCCAGAAGGATACTGGCAATGACAGCTCCTCTAGCAGCTCCGGCAGTGATTCTTCTTCGGCGAGCGGTATATCCAGAAGCCGCAGTGCATCTTATTACGTTCAACGTCCGCCATTGTTGTTAACTCTTCCTGTTGCTAATTCTTTGCTGGTGCAGACTCCGATTCAGAGAGCTCCTCAGACGGCGATTCTGACGACAACGAAGACTAACAAGGCTGGTGATGTGACGGTGGTAGACAAGGGAAGGGCAGGGCAGGGGGTGGAGGAGAGGGGAGAATTGAGGTGTGTTCTATGTTTGTTTGTTTGTTTGTTGTTCCTTCTTCCCCTCCTCTTAAGGTGTGACTTAGGTGGTAGGAGTGGATGGACAGGTGTAGCATATGTAAAAAGCAAGTAGAAAGTGACAAAGAGTAGTGCAGGTGATGATGCTTTTGGCTTCATATGATTTTTCACTAAATTGGTCATGGGGCCTTTTGGGAATTCCGTGGTGGCTCCTTAATGGTGCATTCTCTCCATCGTTTTGGTCTCGTGGGCACTGTTAATCATGTCTATCTACGCCTTTTCCTCTTCATAGCTCGTTTCGTTTAGGTCTCTAATACGCCCCTGTTGGCAATCATCAAATCTTGGTTCCGTAGCTCATTCAGTGTTTGGTTTCTATCATGTGACACCCGAGCTGGTCTTGTGACATTAGTAGTGATTATATATATGCTGCATTCAGCATTCTTCGGAAGTGTCTTCAGGAGTTTGCAAATGGTTGCCAATACTTGGAAGTCATGAAGCATTTTTGTTGTATGAGGATTTAATTTAAGGGCAAAATTCTCTCTACTGGCCAATATTGTCATCGGGATTAGTACTTAGAAACTCATGAAGCATTTTTGTTGTATGGAGATTTAATTTTAAGGCAGATATCCTAAATAAACTTAAGATATTATTTTTTTTGCAATTCCAGTAAAATATTTTTTATTTTCTTAAACATGTTATGATCTTTAGCCTTTGTCATCTCGAGGCCTCGCTCGTTGTATTTTTTTTCTATCGCTTTTTTTCGATGTAATGTTCGTGTCTTTTAATTTTATTTATGTTTTACATGGCATGTAGAAGTCTCATTTTGGTTAACTTTTATGATTGTTTTAAGCTTGTAAACGTATGTTGTGTGGAGTCATCGTATAGATGTAAAATTGTTCATAAACAAGCTATCCAGGTAATCATTATGGGATTTTGTAGCTCCGTAGAGTGGTACGGAATATTAACCAGCACAACACCCAAGAGCTATCCGAGTGGCACGTGGCTGGATGAACCTTTGGGTACTATTTATGGTTGGTTCACTGTCTTGTTTCGCAATAATGTTATATGAACACTTATAGGGATTTCTGACCATTAAAAGTTTGTGAAGTTCATGTTTGTAATTTGCATTGCTTATGAGCTTGTAAAGTTTGTGTTTATAGTTTACATTGCTTATGAAGTGTTTGTTAAAATGGTTGCTCGTGGGATCTCGAGTTAAACGTTTTATTTAATCCGTCTTCTCTTTTACATGTCCTCAATGGACTATATGAGTTTTCGAGAAAATTGATTCTTTACGAAAGGACACACAAGGGTACCGCACGATTTAGGTAAAACCAGTTTAAGTTCGTGACAAATGGTATTAGAGTAAGACAAACACATTTATAAATAATTGACATGTAAACATGGGAGACCTAGCGGGGTTGCATTGAGGACAACTAGCACATGTGACCATTTGAGGGAAACGAGCATTGCAACGTAGGGAAATGAGTCACTTGGAGGAACAAGCATCCAAGATTGGCATTCAAAGGAATGCCTAACCCTTTGCGCATAAGACACTACGAGGACAAACAAGCTGGGAAGAATATATAACGTATAAAGGTTGGGATGGTTGAATTCAAGCTATGACTCGACGTTAGCAACCAAACTTGACGATGCTCAAGGCAAGCAAGGCGTTTAATAAAGGATGAGATAGTGTAAGAGGGTATGGGTTGCTCGGTGACCAAAAGAGTTATACAAAACTTACAAAGGTGAGGAGAATTGCTAACTCGAATAAGTCGGTATTCATGCAAGAGCTTGTATACAGATGATAGATTATTCATGGTTATCCTAAGACGATTAAAACTCGACGTCATGGAGCATTGAAACTTTTTCTTCGGCATAAGAAGGATACATTTGTAGAGGTTAAAGTGTGCAACAAGTTCAACATGTAACTAGGCTTAAGGGGCATAGTGAGGGTTGTTTTGGCCTAGAGTCATAATCTAGCAAGTGCATTCGTAGAGACAGAATAGTGTACAGTTTATTAACATAGAATAGTTCAAGGAGATGATGGTCTCCGAAACTTAGAAGAAAATTGCTCCAACAGGATTGATATCCATGAGGGATGTCTCACTTTTCTAGAGGGAAAATCATGTACGATGAATAACACATGTTGAGGAGAGGTATTTCAAAGTTGATAAACGCATTGCGAGATCTTGTTGGTGAGTATTTCAATGTCATGCGATTACTCATCGCTACTCACTCATGCGATTAATAACCCCATAAAACTCAACGGAGCGAGTGAGTAATGATGAGTAATCGCATGATCTTACACGTTGATAAACGCATTGCGAGATCAAGTGAGGAAGCGACCTAAGGCTACACCAAATAAAAACACTTTTATAGAGATTTTTATAGAGGCAAGAGCGAAATCATATCGTTTCATAGGTCCCTTATTACGACGGAACAGACTCATCGTACATGGTACCAAAGTTGAATGAAGGTTCAAGATAATGACACAATCATTTAAAATGATAATCGACGTGACGAAAGACAATGAGATAAAAGGCCACGAACAAAGCCATGACAACAATAACAAACAAGGGCAACAATAATAAAAAATGAGAGAATGATTAAGATGAAGACGATCACATTGGGAGGCAATACGACGAGACAAAGGTGAGCAATAGTCAAAGATAATTTCATCTTTAAAAAAAAAATGAGCATTCTACGATAGTAAAGTAAAAAATAAATGTTCTATGAGGAGAAAAATAAAAAACTTAAAGATTTTTTAAAAAAATTACCCTTAATTCAGTATATTATAAAATATATTATAAGGGTGACCACCGAGAATGACAGAAGCATGATAATGGATGCAGAATAACAAGAAGGCAAGCAGTTGTATGCACCTGTGGAAACCCAAACCAGCCGTAGTCTCAGGCATTTGTTTGCGTCACAGCTCCAATTCAACAACCTATTGTCACATCACATAATATACACCTGATGTATTAATCAACCTGCAATGACCCATACATCCCAAGATAAATTAACTGGGAGAACTCCAGCTAGTTCGGTAGTTCTCAAGCACCAGCCACCACCATGCGTGCAACTTTGCTTCATAATTAGGAGACTCTACATTGCTCATATGAGAAGGGTATCAATCTTTTGCAATAAACAGGACAATGTTGAGTCTAAAATAAGCTAAAACACCAGTCTAGTTAAACAAGGCACCCTTTGGCAAAATCCGATAAGGATGTCATGCCCCGAACTGATCAGGTAGGCACACATAGCAAACTAACAGATTAACAAAACTATCTAAATAAATTAAATACCACGAATATTGCTAAAGCACTCACACCCATGAATCCTGCAAGCCACAAATATTAACTTGTCATAACAGATACTAATTTGAGTGAGAAGTTATGATGTTGTAACTTTTATCTAAAGATGAAAAGAACGCTGACCACAAAATCAAAATCAGCGAAAGACCAACATGGTTCGAGGAACAAAATGGTTCTAAGAGTTGAAACAAGTAGGCAAAAATAACAACTTCACACTTGTAATTCCAACTAATGTGGCAGATTTCCCACCTTAGAGAACGCTGTCATAAGACTAATAACTTTTCAGAAGATGTAACCAATGAGGTTTCTAAACTACACTACTTTTGCACCTTCAAGAAAATTGGAAGGGCAGCTTGTACATGCTACATTGGTGATATATGAAATAGGAAAAAGAGTGATCAACGGTTTATTGCTAAAAAACAAATGCGTAGCAGCAAAATCTCACCCACAACTGAGCTCGAAACGAAGATCTTATCCCGAGCATATGGCTGAAAGAATTATTATTAGGGACCAGATGGTTATCACTCCTCGTATGTGAGACCATCTTCGTCGCCATCCTCAAGCCCAGAATCTCCCATCCCTCCAAGTATTGACAAGTAAATAACTATCGAGACCACCTGTGCTGCAATGAAATACTTTGCTCTTCTTCGAAAGGCTTTCTCTTCTTCTGTTCTCTCCCTTTTCTCTTTTGGCTTCGTCTTAGCATCTATGGATATAGAGTCCGATAAGATCAACTATAGAATTCAAAGAGCATAAAAGAGAAGAAGAACCAATATTGAAGTACAACTAGCGTTGAACTAGTTTCTCTTAGGTTCAGTTGCCAATAATTTGCAAAATGTTTCAAAAGCAGCAGCCAGACGAAGAACGTTATATGGCTAGATTAGTAGCTAGAAAGGAATAACAAGCAGCTAACACACATAAATTGAACGGTAAAACTCTTTAATTGAATGATTAAAGTTTCTCAACAAGAAACATTGAACTTCCACATTGGCAGAATCAGACATTCATTATGTCCCTATCATATTTGCAAGCTTAGTCAGGTTCTAGGGGGACACAAGATAATGGCCAACTGGCAAGCACATTTTGCTAGAAACTACAAATCCTCTTGTATCTGAAGGAGTTATTGGCCAGTGGAACTTGGTCAGTTTTTGTGCTCTGAGAAGCATGGCTTAGTTTGTATTAGATCTTTGCGGTAATATATTCTTTTCCTTCTGAAAACAAAAAGTTCCATAGCACCATGATGGGAATTATGACTAGGATTGAACATATATCAGTAACAAATCATTCAAGGCGCATTGTTAGTACTAGCAAACAAACTATGATGATAATTCCTGCTCAGGTCCAGCAAATGCCAAGATTATTTTTTTACTATAGTTTCAATGACAACCAATATTAAGTATATTGATTTCCAAAATGGTAAATATTTAAACAATAAACACATTTTAGATTCTACAAGGTCTGCCTGGAATTTTTTAATGCTAGTAAAATGGGTTTTAATCATCTTATATGCTAATCAAGCAAAGGCAGGAAAAGGCTGCACTAGCAATTCATGACTCACTAAATCTTAACCTTGATTAAGAAACTCCTGCAAAAATTTTCATAATCATGCTAAGCAAATTCTGCTATTTAAAGTATGGCTTAAGCATTCTCCTAATTGCTTTATAACCAACAGGTGATGGATACACTTCAGAATTAAGACTAAATCGAAGAAATTGCATGCTCAACAGGAAACAGAAGTTGATGCTTCGTCATAATATCAAAGCTGACTTGTGGTCGGTCTAAAATCAAGTTCATCTTGCATAAGGCAGGATACATCTAACTAGATTTCTGCAATCTTACTCTGCTTTGAGCCTTTTCTTCTTGGTATTGATGATGACGATGCATCAGATGAAAATGCAGGTCCCGTTGCTGATGAATAACTGTCTTCTAGCAATCGAATCTTACAATCTTGCACAAACCTTAAAAGGTTGGCATGCTTCGAGAGACTACTCCTCAAAACTGATGTCTCCTATTATCAGCAAACAAGCAAACACGAAACTTAGATTGTAACCAACACAGAAGCAGTTCAAATTCCTGAAACTAAGCCTAACTGTAATATAACTGAAACCATTTCCAAATATAAGCTAAAGAATTGTCTTATAGGAGGAATAACACTAAAATATAAACCAACAGAAAAGAATTTTCAATGAGAAAAGATGCTCCACCAGTAAATAGAAATGCCAACATTTCATGTTGCAATACTTCTTAAATTAAACTTCTTTCACACTAAAGACCATCTGGCCTGTATAACACATTGAACAACTTCAGTAACAACAAGGAACCAACTAATGCGATTTTCAAACTTACTAATTCAATAAACTAGTGGTTGGAATTCCACATATTCAAAAACTACCTCCTTTTCTAGAATGAGTTTCTTCTCCAAGGATGAGTTGAAGAGGAGTATGAGCTATTTAAACAAGGTTTATAAAAAAAGGACTTTCATAATCTTGTTGTGTGCCAAAATCAGCACAGTCAAACCATCTTCACGGCCTTCTATAGCTAGAACTAAGATCTGTAGCTTATCAATCCATTATAAAAATGTTTTCTAACCTTCCAGCCCTTTAAGATTCTCTTTCATCTTCTTGTTGTTGTTGAATTACATTAAATACGAAAGTCATCAAAGGGTAATTAAAAAAGCACTAATGTGTACACTTTCTATGAAAATTATATACAAATTTGTGCTGATAAAACAGATAGTGATTCATACGCCAGAATATATTACATCCAAGATTCAGTGAAAATGACTGTTGAGAACGTATTAGAATCCATCAAACTGTCTAAATTTTGAACAAAGGACCATTTAACCAGGGAAAAAGCATGAATCTAATTGCTCAAGCAAAGGCCAACCTTCTCCATGATCCCAATAAAGTATGCTTCAGAGAAGCAAGAATATCTGCTATCTGCTGTGACACATGGCTGTCCTGGACCCAACAAAGTTGATAGAGCTGGATATAACATTAAGCCTTCTCAAAAGAAGGTGTACTTTCAAGCATGGTAACAATGCTCTATTGTGGTTTAGAAATTAGTTCTCGAACAATAGAAATGTAATCTCTACATGTGGAATTAAACCTGCGTCATCTGACCAACTAGTAAACTCATCACTAGTGGGTTTTGTTCATATGCCACCCTTGTTTCCTCTGCAATGTACTTTTATTTGCTAAATAAAAGTTCTAATTCGGGTTGGACTGCCTATTAACTCAAAAATACTATGATGAATCAAACTCAAATTATTTTAATCAACTTATGGATGCACCAAAACAGACTTGAGATGCATAACATACAATTAGCTGCAATTAAAACATGCTATGGACTGACAAAGTAATTAGTAAATCAATGCAATAACAAAAATATGCACTGAAATTTTGTGGTAACATTTGATATCATTCTACCTACCTAATACTGCTCTGAGAAACATCTACATTTATATACTAAAAACAGAGACCTCTCAACAATTTGTCATATGACTAGGCAAGGTTCCATACCAGCTACTCTATGGATCTGTTTTATTACTTCAGACTTTCCAATCTTCTTTATTAATCAATGGTCCTATTTGGCTCATCTAACTGCCATTGCAGTAGACCATTTATACCAATTATATTTCCATCAATGATTTATACCATCATAATTTCAGTCCTAAAGTAGCATAATAAAATGATATGAGTATACTCCTAGGAAGTCTCAAGCAAATTATTCATGTAGTCTGCCAAAAATTCATTGCCAAACTTCTTGTGAATCTCACATGTAAGTGTTCCCCATTGTGAAGATCGTCTTTGAAATCTAAGGATATCCAAGGGGCAGAGCCAGGATTTATATATTGAGGCAGCCATTTAACAAACACATAACAAACATCTATAAGGAAATATTCTGGATGGTTAAGGCAAAGCATATGCCCTCAAGAGATCAAGGATCAAATCCTGTAAGTATCAAGCACGCATGTTATGTAATGACTGAATAGAAAAAGTTAATTTAAAATAAAAACATACATATAACAAACATGAAAATTATAACTTTAAATTAAAATAAAAGAAAGTTTATAATTTTAATTGTAGTTCGCAAATCTATCTTATCTTCATAAATCTAAATTACATAAGGATTTAAAAGCCATTGCTAGAACATGTTAAATATATTTTGTAGTAATTGAAATATATCTCTGAAGCAACAATTTATATTTTTTTCAAAGAATATTTTAACCTTGTACCACACCAAAGTAAATCAATATTAACAACCAATAGGCCTGTAACTATAGGGAATTTGGATGATCAACGGAAGTGAGACAAATCCATTTATAAAGAAATAGAATCTATTATCAATTCAGATGAAAAAATTAATATGGGACAATATTTGGTAGGATCAAGATACTTGCACCACATCTACCATAATCAAGAAATATTTTTTAATCGTATCTTCCACCAGATTTCTAGGTTTGACAGTGTTTTCAATAGCAAGAAATGCAGACACTGGGTTTTCTATTTACTGTAGGGTCCTCGTCCTGAAATGTTCCCCCCATAAATCCAATCAAGAAAAGAAGCTTGTCCAATGTTGCATGAACCATTATCCTTAAGAACGTTCAAATGTGAAGAGGAAACAATGATTGAAATGTTCAGGTGTAAGCAACTGTGTGGATTCACTATCAAACCTATCATAGATAAGAAACTCATGCAACACAGGAATGCTTTCTTGGACACAACCATGATACAAAACATGATTGCTCATAAAATTTTAAAATGTTGTACCTGCTGTTTTTAGCCTATCACAACAATCGCAAGTATACAACAACATAAATGCAATAATTGCAAGTATAATAAAGAAATTGAAGCATGGATTAGAAAACCAGTCAGATTGGTAATACAGACTGGAACCTACTGGACTATACCGACAGGTATCTACGGGACTGGTCCGACCAAAAAAAGGGATGTGGACTAGGCAATTTTCGCTTGGTCTGATCCAGAAGAGGGGTTACAGCCCAGAATTAAAACTCAGGATATTAAGCAGTGAGCCTACCATTTGGAACCCCAACATTATTTTTTCCAACAACTTCCTTTCTTTTCATTTTTTTGTAATCTCTCCTCCCACACTCCTCTCTCACTCTCTCTCCTTTCTACCTCTCTTTATCTCTTCCCTTTTTCTTCCACCTTGCCGCCTCACCCCTGCCACTTACTGATTTATTAACAAAACAACATTACCAAAATAATGAATCTTGCATTAGTATTGTATTACTCATCACATTGACCAATTGGCATTTTAACTATTTATTAAACTTTTATGGGAGCTTCAGTCCTTTAAGGAAAAGTTTTGCCATAACTTCTACAAGAAAGGACAGGAAAATAGTGTGAATCATCTTCTTAACAGTATGAAACTACAGTAAATGCTTTTCTTCCTGATCTTTAACTGACAATATGGGACATAAAAGGTTCATGAATTCCAAGGATCACAGAATCAATCATATGAATCAAATTAAATGACCAAGTCAGCAATTAGCATCTACGGTATGCCACAGTAAATAATTAACCATACTCACCGGCAAAACATGGAGGACAAAGACAGCATGTCCAAGGAAAAGAGAATCCACACTAGTAGGCCTGCAGACAGAGGAAACAAGGTCCAATTCTCAGAAACCTCTTAAACTATTGCTCCTGAGGTTCTAATATGATGCTAAATTGATGCTCAATATCAAAATTTAGCATAAAAAGAAGAAAAAGAAAATTTGATAGATAGCAAGAATATTTTACCTCCCTTCAAAGAAAAAGACCTGACTCCCTAACTTCATAGATAAGGCCTCATATGCAATGTTTGCTTTCCGATAAATCTGCAATGGAAAAGTCCCAACCTAATGAATATAAAGATACTGCCAAACAAACACACACCAATGAAAACATTTCCGAGGCAAAATGTGGCATAAACCAGTCGCAACAAATTAAATTATGAAGAAACATAAAGCACAACACTATAAATAATGATTTCTTTGCACATTGTAAAAATTGGAAGAGAATAGAATGAGAAAAAAATGCAGTTGAGCATAAATCAGAAAATTAGCAAAAATGATTGAAAGATGCAGAAAGCTTAATTATAATTATCGAGGGAAGCTTTTAGGCATAATCTAATGGTTAAAATAAGGCTTAATTGATCCATAATAGCAAAATCATGTGGTTCTGAAGCATTATGAGTCCATTTATGACACTTTAATAGAAAGAGTTTCTTGCACTTTTTTAGCAGTTCCACAACTGTGATGGAACTAGAGTATGAGAAAGCAGACCTCTTCCTCTTTCTCTGCAGCATTAAGTTTGGTTATTCCATGTAGCTGCTTCACTGCTTGAGTTTGTTTCCAGTGCAGAATTTTTCCAATAGGCCAGGGAAGGTCAGAGAAATATATGTCATCAGCAATAGTATTATCACAAGTCACCCAAAGTTCATATTGCACCGCCTCTGCAAGCCAAGTGCTGATCATCACTTTTGTTGATGCCCAATCAGGAAAACAGTCCTTTGGAAGTTGGGAGTCCAACTTTACAACGTTGTCTTCATTCAAACATTCAATAACTCCTCCCTTCTCATTATTGAATGTGACATAATCCCCATATTCAACATATGGTATGTGGTCTGTAAAACAAGAAAAATAAATAAGAGAAATGATATATTATCTATAAAACAGTCGAGAACAATAAATGAGAAATAACTGGCAAATATATGATGCCTCGATTGACTGTTCATTAGCAAGCACAAACATAGACACTGGACACAAGACACGGATGGACATGCCGACACAGAAGATCTTAAAAAACTAGTAAGCAACATGACATGAGTGCAACAATAAAGATATCTATATTCTTATAATTTATAAAAGGATGAAATAATTGTATCTAAATTAAGAGTATTGAAATTATAATTTTACACAAGTCTTGAATGTCTTAACTTGTAATTTTGGTGGGTTTAGATTAAATCAATCTTAGTATATCAGAGAAATGTGTAAGCCTCAAATAAGAGTAAGTAGCTTCTTGTATCCATGCTTGGAAGGTGTATAATTAAAAAGGTCGTTAAAGATCCCACGACTCAAAATTGTAGGTGTTAGGTCTATTAACTCTGCACGCTCATGCAACTCTCTCTTGCCATCCAGTCAAACCTAAATTTAAAGCATTGGCATCGTGGCATCAAAAAGGAGGAGCTTTGTTGAGGACCAGGTGTCCCCCATGGCTCAAAGCTCATTTGAGATGATAGGTTATGATCCAATAAGGAATGTGCCATCATCTTTTGATCAATTTCTCACTCCAATAGATGGGATTAGTTCCTTCTTTACACCATCACCTCATCCTTGGTGCTTCTTCCCCCTCCTTCCCTCTCTTCCTCTTTCTCCTCCTACTCCGCCACCCCTTGTCGAGCCTCTCAACAGCCTCCACTACTCCCCCCTCCTCTGCCACGTCTCACTGCTTCTTCCCAACAGAACTGCTGCAATGAAGGACCATGTGCATTATCGATATTCACAATCAGTCAATCAGAAAATAAATCAAAATATTTTATTCTAAATCTTAAATGCTTCCAATTCTTATGTTACAAATTACCTTCGGCTACATAAAGTTAACTTTGTTTGAACTCCTCAACCATAAGAATCAAGGTTGTAAACATAACCATAATCATGTCATATTTGGTTTAGCTTCCCAAATACACCAAAAACTCAAAACACTTGTGATATGACTAATTACGCTCAACTCAGGTGCTACATGATACCACGGCACTTCCACTGAAGCACTAATGCTTTTATCCACCTTCCATTAGAATAACAGTAGTCCAACAGCGAGAAACTAGTGTTGCTTGGATCTCCATCACAAATCATTTTCTTTCAAGTTAAAAAAGGTTTAAATACACCTCAAAATGAAACAACCAGATGGAATAAATCCACAACATGATCTGTAGAAAAACTATGAAAGTATATGAGCAATATGATTAGAAATCAGGATGGATCAAATTTGTTGACCATTGGCAAAAAAAATCTTTCAAAATATTTAAGTTTTGAGGAAAAATATTTAAAACAAAACCATGATTGTGTTCATCCAAAACATTGCATTATTATAAGTACTAAACCACATAAATTTGTTATTGAAAAAAATCAAAAACTTGAAAATAAATCTAAATTATTAGTTTAGCAGTTTAACTTTCAAAGACACATGAGCATTTGCTAGTTCAAACTCAGAAGATATCCTCTAATGGAAAGTTTATGGCCCAAAATAACAATTTTAGGGTTGAGATTTTAATAAATTTATGACAGCAGACAAGGAGGGATAGAACTGAGAAAAAGAAGCTGGAAATCGGAAGTTCGGAACCAGCTGGAGAGATCAATCCAACCCCAGTTTTATCTAAAAATCAAACCATGAGACTGAAATCAGATCACACATAATAGAAATACATATGTGTGAATCAATTAGGATCAACCAATTCTGCTTTTACAAATTTAGTAATTAATATTAAGTTGCGAAAGTTTCAAGGTGCACTAAGAGCACCAAGGTCGATTTTAGGATATGCTATGGGAGGTGAGCCAATTTATTAGATCAAGGCAAAAAATCTAATACTTGTTACAAGATAATTTTAACAGAATAAATATAATTTTTTTGTGCAATTATCAGTCACTAATATCTGATTGCCTCGTAGGCTCAAAGTTGAGAGTGTTATGACAATTATATATTGCAATAAAAAACATGTGGAAAATATGGAAGTTGTAGATAAAGCAAACAACAATAAGAAAGCAATGAAAAAAAAGAAAAGAAAGAAGATGAGGATAAGATAATGACATTTTAAAACCCATCACCCAATCTTTTCCTTCTCATTGAAGGAAAAAATTCTCTATTGTTTGAACTTTGTTTCTTCAAGAAACAAAAGTTCTAATCCTTTCGTCGATAAAACTTCTCTTGAACTACATAAATCCAAGGATTATAATTTCGTACCATACCGGAGTTCCGATCTCAGCTCGGTACGATACGAGCGTACCAAGCGTACATACATACATACATACATACATACATACATACATACATACATACATACATACATACATATAAAATAACAAAGTAAAAAAATAATAAAAAAGGTGACATCACCTCGTTTCTTCTCCCTACACGGGGAAAAGAAACCGAGGAAAAGAATTGGTATATATATTATATATAAATATAAAGGTTAAAAAATATTAAAAAAGGGCGACATCGACTCATTTCTTCTCCCCACATAGGTAGAAGAAACCGAGTGTTCTCCTGGAATTCCAGCCTCAGCGACGTCGTCGAGGCTTCTTCTCCCCGCACGGATGAGGAGAAGTCGCCGACAATGTCGAGGCCTCGTCACTTCAGATGAGAAGGCGACATCTCATCTATAGCGTCCGGCGAGGGAGAGCGATGACGGATCAGGATCATCGAGGGAGAGTGATGCTAGATCTTCGAGTTCTTCCTTTTCTTCTCCCTCTTCTTCCTTCTCCCTCGACTAATATTGTCCGGTAGCGGGCAACGAAGATCAAAATCAACCGTTACCGACCAATTTCGAGCGATAACGAGACGGAAACAGCCCCAATCGACGATACCGTTCGATAGTGGGCGGTCTGCATATCGATCTGCTAGCGGATCGGTACGTACTGCCCGGTATGGGCGGTATCATTCAAATTAAAATCGTTGCATAGATCTCTTAAACAAAAGCCCACAAAATGCATTCCTAAGGCATGCTTGAGCAAGGCTTATGAGACATGTATAAGGTGGTGCTACCATACGCTTGCCTTCGATAACACTAGGCTAATGTTAGTAGATACTAGCCAACTTCGACTAATGGACAACAGAGGTCTGTAACAAAAATCACCCGTAGACAAGAAATATGTGAAATATAATTCAGCCTAAACCTATCATAAAAACCATGACCATTATAAATAAGTAAAAAAATGACCCTTAATGTATCACATATGAGCCAAAGATAGAATCAGCAAGAACTCAAAAAAGGAACACAACATTTTGAAATCAAGTTTCTTCCATGAAAAATCCATCCCTCCTTTCCTCACCTCTCTAAATCAAGTCCAAGAATAATGTTATCAACTATTTAGGTGATCCCATTGAACAGCCCTGTCTAAGCTTTGGAAAAGCTCTTATTTTAGCTTTCCATTCTTCATTAGAGATAGATATATGACCTAAAGATCAAGAACATCAATACATATGGTGGTGTCGCTTTAACTATTAAGTTGGAGATTATAATTCTTCATTTGATTTCTAAAGATCAAAAACAAGAACTAAAGTTACTTCTGCTATCATTTTCTCCCAGGGAGAATGCCCTAACTCTGATATTATATAAATATCTTGGTTTCTAAAGATCAATTAGGCTAAGTAAAGCTACTCCTGCTTTGACTTTCTCCGAAATCGAAAATGCCCTAACCCATATATCTTATCATGGATAGTGGATAAAATATTAAACCCTGATGCATGCAGATCTCTATGGTTTGGAGCCTTGAATGGACGAATTCAAGCTTCAAAACGAGTTCAAGAACACATGTTTCTATCTTGAATATTGAGATTTGTTAAGAGATGTGTCTAGCATCAAAGGAGGCTGAGTCCAAGTGAAGAGCCCTGCTATTAATTTGATTACCAATGTTAGCAGCAAAAGCCTATTTATTCCTGGCAATCACTTGCCATGAAAATGGGGAACTGATATTCATCTAAGTTTCTACCTTTGACATACATTAGGGAAAATCACGTTAAGCAGAATCTTGCTCTTAGCATTTTTCTTTAAGATTCTTTGCGGGTACAGCACTCTGAGGCCATAATCTCCTGATTTAGAAAAAGGAGGGAGAAATCAGCATAGACCAATACTAAGTCACTAGCTATCTAACTCGTCTGGCTTTCATTTCAAGCTTCGATCTATATGGTTATCCGTATCGCTAGTACTAACGGCTAAACAAAACCAAATCACTACAGTATCAAAGAAACATGACCTAGATTGAGGGGCATATTGAAATCATTTGAGATCCTAACGCGCACACTCAAACAAGCAACTCGAAGCCAGATTGGAACAATGTCAAAGCATTCGCAAAAATGCAAAGAATCCAATCCACTACGCCAATCTCCAGATTGAAGGAGGTATGCGATATCAAAGCATTCGCGAGGACGCGAAGAATCCAATCCACAGCACCAATTGCAAAGCGAGACAGAAAGGAATCTTATCAACCAGAACAAGGATAAATGAACATCAAAGTCAAGGCTAACAAGAGGGGAAGGAGGGGAAGAGAAGCGGCAAAGATGAACGTGCCGGAATCCGGGTTGGCGCGATCGAACTCGAGCTTGAAGTCGACGTTGGCGAATCGGAGGTGGCAGTAGACGGGAAGGCAAACGGGGCACGCGGTGGGGAGACCGAACCCGCCCTTCCTCGCCACCAGGACAACCTCCGGCTTCGCCTCCTCCTCCCTTTCGTCGGCCATCTCCATGTCGAAGAAGGTGGCGTACGATGTCCAAATGGCTGGGGTTTCTTCTCCGCCTCTTCGCTCTATTGGGAGGGTTTCCTCTTGTGGCCCGTTGCTGTTACTACGGCTGAGTTGTAGCGTTTAGGGTAGTTCGGTGGCGATGTCAAATGTTTTCTGGGCACTAATTTAGATCTTTCTAGAAAGATTTATATTTATATTTATATATATATATATGATATTTTTCTATAATTAATGGTTAATTCATTGAGCTTTGTTTGGTGGATTTCCTGAAATGAAGTCTAAATAAAAATTTTAATTTTACATTTGCTGCAGATTTGATATCATGATCAATTAAAGAATTTTAAGCATGAAAAAAATAGGATTTTAAAAAATATTTTGTATTTATATGTTATGTCAGCTTTTATATTTGTGAATGTATTGATGATTAATTAATTTTACATATACATCCTTTTGAAAATGGCATATTTTCCTCTTAAATTTCAATATTGTATCCTCCTGAAAATTTAGAATTTACCTATATAATTCTTAAGACGCTCTTCTTAGCGTCCATCCAACAAACTCAAAATTAATTATTATCTAACTATAATTATGTAAGTTAATTCTTATTTCTTTAATTAATTATTTAAACCCTTAACAGCCTGTGCTCTTCCTATTACCTCAAATCCAAAGCATATTAGAGGGAATTGTCGAGACTTCTTGACTATTAAGTGGCCTTGTAGCAGCAAAACCAGGGTGGTGGAGTGAGATTTCTGGATGTTAGTAGTTGCTTCAAGTGGTGAAGTCATCAGGTTTCGTGTTCATCTCTTGTGCATTTAGAGGAGAATTAGGATATCTTGTTTGCATAAGGAGCTCTTCATCTCTTGTTCATATATGAAAGGTATAAACATTAAAAATTCTAATATTGTTATTCAAAATAAATTTAATATTAAAAATTAAAATTAAATAATCAAAGATCAAATAGTAAATGTGTCGAATACCTAATATGCAAGAAGCAACATCACATATCTAAAATATAAATTAGCCTCTACTTCTACTCTCTTTTTACCATTCATAAGGTCATCGATAAAATATAAAATAAATAAAGATTAAGAATAAATATATAATCTCAATTGTGTTATATTTTATCGTTGGAAGGTTCTATCTATTTATAAGCAATAATTAGAAGAGTCACTCCCATTAATATATCTTCTAAGGAATTTTTTTATTATAATTATTTATGTTTTAGTGATCAATTATCGTAAATAGAATCAAATCAGATATATAATATATATTATCTAATTAGATAGAACCATATAATATAACATTCTCTTATTTGATCTATTAATTGATAAGATATAAAAAAATAAAATAAAAATAAAATAAAAATTATTTAAAAATAATTTTATCAAGTTGAATTTTTAAAATTTTAAAAAATATATTTTACACATGGTTATGAATTTTAAAATAAGTTAATAAGTATATAAAGTATAAAAATACTTTATTAAGTCCAAATACTAATATGAGTTATAGTGATTTTATATTATTAATATCATACTTCCTTCTATATATCATAATATGTTAATCTTTTATAATATAATCTATAATATCCCATGTAATTTATTTTATCAAGATAATCCTATTATCATATTCAACTATACTATACATATATATAAATATAAACATAATAATAGAAATAAATAATTTTAATTAAAAAAATTATAATAATATCCAGCATTACCATATCCTTTATGAGTTTCTCACATATCTCATTCTTAAAACATATTTTTTAAACACTTTAAGTTGTAAGACCTTAATAAATGAATTATCAATCATCAAAGGTGCTTAGGTTCTTAATTAATATTTATTATTTTTAATTTTTTTTCTAACTATCGACTATTTTATCTCAATGTGATTAAAACTATTAAAATACTTATGTTTTTAGAAAAAAATTATTATGATATTATCATAAAATATCTTGTTTGACAATCTAAGTCAACCACATAAAATCTTTTGAGATTTTTATAGTCATACGATTTGACATAGATTCAGCTTCTATTGTTGATAAGTGATTACTTTATATTTTTCTAAGAAATTCTCTTTAAATATAAATCATAAAATAAATTTTTTATCACGTAATTTGTAAAATCTGTATCTAAATATTATATTACTTCAAACTGATTTGATCTCTTGTATATGAGCATATAATCTTTCATCTCCTATAGATAATTTATTATTATTTTATTATAATTTTGGATTGGCATCTACCCAACATTCCAACTATCCAGCATTTTTATTCACTACTAGGTGACTCAGATGTAGTCAAGCTGACCACAAAAGCAAATGTTCTAAGAAGGCCACGTAGAAAAATCACACTAGTAGCAAGACCTTGGTGACAGTCTTCTGTTTCACGCTTTGGTAGGGTACCATTCAATTTAGTATTCACAGAATTTTATAGAATAATGTGAACCAATTTCTGCATGTTCTAGGTTTGATCGTAAGGTCAAATTGTTACGAAACTAAATGAACAATTTGACCTTACGTCAAACCATTAGGAGAACAAGTTGTGTGCTTGAATATAAAGCCGAAGAGAGATTTATGACCTGAAATCTTGATATTCTTGTCTAAGGGCCGCAAGTTCCAACATCAACGATGGGATTTGCTGGACATTACCATGGCTCCTCTGCAAATCCTCAGTCAGCTGTTGTACTCTGGAAATTAGCTCCTGTCTTGCTGCTACCAAGCTCTGAGCTTCTGGACGAGCCTGCTGCATATCTACATTAACAGGTTCAGAAGCTTTCAACTCAGAGTCCATCTTTGAAATATTATCCAAGAGCATTCTTAATTGTTGCTCTTGATCAGCTCTAATGGCACTCATGTCAGTCTGCAATCTCTGCAACTCCTGTTGGGCAGCAGATAATTCCTTCCTCAAAGAATAATGGGTAGCTGCACACCTTTTGTTCTCTATTGCAAGTCTTTGCATTTCCACATGTTGTGCAGCAAGCTTCTGCGCCATAATTTCTGGAGGTGGCAACTTATCGAAAGGAAAAACACCCGGCGGGAGGAGAATGCCTGGACCAAATGGATCTGGTTGCACCAAGCCAGGACCAATAAGAGGCCGTTGCAGATGCAGAGGAGGTGGTATACAGCTTTTGCTTCCCATGATGATTGGCACAATATCTCCTTTTACAATATGATAAACCTTGTGAAGCGAGGTACATAATTCAATCAACATAACATGAAACATAGATAAAATCACACTACTGTTCCAAACATAATGATCATAAGTATAGAAAAAATTGAAAAAGAACATATTCACTAAAAAGTTTATAAATACTTTACACCCAATAATTGGTACAAGTACATGTGAGGGCCATTTAATGAAGAAGGTAGACCCAATCTTAGAACAAAAGTAAAAAATTATGATCTTTAAGCATCATATGATATGTTATGAATAAAGTACTCCTTTCCCAAGTAGAACTGAAAATTCTCATATTGTACATTTCACAATATCCAAGTTTTATTAGCACCATAAAGTATTGATGTTCTAGGATCATCACTAATAAGAAAAGGATAAACTGCACCGATCAGTTTGAAAAAAAAAATCAAATAAAAAGAGTATGGCTGTGACTGGATTCATTTATGAAGAGGTTGTTATAATTTGGATGATACCTAAAAAGGCAGCCAAACGCAAATGTCTCTTGTCAATACCGGCTGAAAAGAGTCAATATACATCGACTTACCTCTGCAAGCAGGATGACTGTTTTTGTTACTCAAACTTTGGCTATTTAGATCGCAGAGGAACAACCTGACTCTAATACTAGAGTTCACCCTCGAATTTGGACAAGATCTAGTTCCATAGATAAAGAAAACAAACGCTTGAGAAAGAAACAAGATGTTACGATGTAGTATTTATTTGATGCAAGGAAAATAATTATTATAATTTATAACTATGATAGCATTCCCTTCACAACTTATGCAGAATGATAATAGATACCACGAGTGTAGAACAAATAGCAAGAAAATTCATCTGAGTCATTTTGCCTTTTCAAATCATCTAGCACATTTAGTATGCATGACAACTCTGCAAATTCTCTGATGAATAATATGAATGCATAGGTGGAAAATGGGATCCAGATTTAGATGTGCTAAGCAGCATCTAATAGCTTCACAAGAAAGAGAACAGCCTGGTGCTAGATAAGGAATTATGCAATTACGCCATGACGCAGCTATCCGCAATGACCATTAGCATAGATGCAGTCATTGTTTGTCCAACCAGGACTTGCACAAGCAATGGCAAAGAAGATGTAGTTACAATTCCATTTATTCAAAATCTGTTTGGTGAAACATGCATTTGAACATGCCCCCTATCTAATATCAACCACAGAAACACTTGCTGTCATGGACCATCATGTGGACAACTAAGTTTTGAGCAGCGCAAAACTTTTGACAGATTGGTAGAATCTTGAAATGATTCGACCAAAATTTTATCGATTCCGATGGAAAACCAAGTTGAAAAGCTATATACTCTCAAAATTGGGACAAATTCGCCTGTTTACAATGTTTTAAGATTCCAGGATTTAGGCCTAAGGTTTTATCGTGATCTGGAAGCCCATCGTAGCAGTTGCAACCTAAAGATGACGAGGAGGTGGTGGTGGTAGTGGAGCAGATTCTTTTTCCAGATTTTCACCATATTTCTTCTTGAATTCATGTCAGACAACACATAATCGATCAATAATTAAGGGTTAACCAGTGCTTGTTGTGGGTTAATCTACCGAAATACTTACGGTAGATTGAAAACGATGTTTCTTCGAGAGCCGATAAATCCACATCAACTGTCACACAAAAAGGAGGAGCTTTAGGACAGATTAGGGCATAAGCACCTCAACAAAGAGTGATCATCCAAATTACAAGGAGATTGGCGCTCGTAAAAAAATAAAGCGAACACAAGCAGGAGGGATGCGTCAACAGAACTCAAACCCCAGCGATCGAGATCGATACACAACAAGCAAGCAATCGGATGAAACAAAAGAGCGAAGAAACTTACTATGATCCAGATACGGAGGCGTTAGGGTTCGTCGGAGAAGGCAGCGAGAGAGAGGAATAGGGTTCGGTAGACCAGCGCCTCAGGCGGTCACATCGTGAGAACGATCACCGGACTCCCACAGCCGAAACTTGGGGCTCAGATCCGCAATCCAGTTTCGAGATTGACGGTGGAGATGTAATTGCAGGAGGGGGTTGGCGCCAACGTTTTCCATACGCACCAACTTGCCTCTTGTGGGCCCAAGGCTAAGCCCATGGGCCATGATGGGCCTTACCATTTGTAACAAAGACATAAATATTTGCAACGAGTTCTCTATAACGGTTTCCATGCGAATCGTGTGTCTTACCGTACTAAAATGCTTTAAATGGATATGGCTGTCGTCGGCCCGTCCAACTCCGACGAGCGTTGTGCATCCCACCTGGCGCGGAAGTGACGCGGGGCTGTCCCGCCGTCCATGCGCCTCGGGTCCGAGCAAGAGGCCGCGGACTCCTTGCTCCTGCTATCGGGCGCGGGGATAGCGCAACAGAGGAAGTACATCTGCAACGGGTGCAAGCAAGAGTTCGACACCCCGCAGGCACTCGAAGGGGCGGCTCCAATAGGAAAGCGTAACGGACAGGGAGACGTCTTGGACCGGGGAACAGGCGGACAAGGAGGAGGGAGAAGAAGGTGCCGCGGAGGCACTTCGAGCAGTAAGAGGAGGCGGCGCGAGCGTCCGGTGGACTTGAACTTACCACCTGTGTCATCGCCCGACACCGGCAGCGCGAGCTCGTCTCCTGCTGAAACAGTACTCCTTTGTAATAGATAGATATGTTACGAACGATGCTTTGTGAATTGCACGTCTTGGGAGCATTAATGGATGCATGCATGTCCACATTAAGTCGCTTATCCATCTGCCGATGCACGTATTGGGAGCATTAAAGGATGCTTGTGAACGCATCAAATCGTATCTATTAGTTGCTTCCCCATCCATCTCCCTCGACCGTCGCCTCTCCCTTTCTTCTACGTGGGAGGATCGGATTGCGAGAGAGAGAAAGAGAGAGACGACGAAGGGACGTCGACCGAGTTTGTGGCATGGTTGGCATCTGGAGATGCGTGTGTGGGGGAGGGGACAGATCTTTGTTACCCTGTCTTCTTCCTTCGCTGCAATGCCAATAATATTTTGTGTTCTTCATGCGTGTGTGTGGTGTTCAGACTGCTTTTACTGACTCCCTCAACCAAGCCACCCCTGTTTCGTCACCACGATGGCATTCGAAGCACCGCCGGAGAAGGCGTCGGCAAGATTGCAGAGTTCGCACCAGCAGAACGAATGGGGACGAGAGAAGGAACTCGAAAGCTGTGTTGCTCTGCAGGATGGGTGGTGCACTCGCACGGTGTCTTCGTACGCGTGTGGTTTACTACGCCCAATTGTATTGGAAACTCTCACACGTGCACATCCAACGCTCGAAACGCTCCCAATTCACCACGCGATCGATGGCGAGGGGACATCACCTCTTTTGGCCTTTTTTTATTTTCTTTATTATTCCCCCATATTTCGTTATTTAATTGTTATTTAATTGTTTCTATATCTTTAAATATTAGTACAATAGAAACTCATTTAAGAGCTTAAAAACCAAATATTACAAAAAATTGACTCTTTACCGTTAATATTAGATGGTCACAAATCATACATATGTATAAAAGGATTAGAAATCTAAATGTCAATGTTCTGAAAGTAGCAAGTAATTGCAACTCTATAACATTTGCAACAAAGACATAAATAAAAACAACCGGCAAAGACATAAATATAACATTTGCAAACGGGTTCAAACATTTGTTAGGAGTTCTCTATGACGCCTATGGTGGCCGTATGGTTTCGATTCGAACCGTTTTATCTTATTGTATGCAAGATGCTTTAAATGAATATGACTTAGCCATCGGCCCGTCCAACCCCGATGAGCGTTGCGCATGCCCACCATTTTGGTGGCGCAGGCGGTGATGACGACGGTAACAACGCTTCGTCTGAAAGCAGGTGGGGAGGCTGAACCCGCCCTTCGTCCCCACCAAAATGACCTTCAGCTTCGTCTCCTCCGCCCTCTTCGCTCTCTTATGTGGGTTTCGCTCCTATACACCCGTGATCGTTACTATTCGTCATATCTACGACTGAGTTGTAGCGTGTTTAGGGTAACTTGGTGGCGGTGTCAAATGTTTTCTGGGTACTAATTTAGATCTTACTAAAAAGAAAAATAAAAAAATATTTATTTGATTTGTTTTCTATAATTGGTGGTCTTAATTTTAATTCATTGAGCTTTATACGGTGGATTTCCAGAATTTTTCAAACGAGGATCGAAGTCTAAATAAAAAATTGGTTTGCTGCAGATAATAATATTATGATGAAAAATAGATAAGGATATATATATCCTTCAAAAGTTCGAAAATAGCATATTTACCTCTTAAATTTCAACATTGTAACCTCCTGAAAATTTAGAACTTACCTATATAATTAATTCTTAAGACACACTTCTTAGCATCCATCCAATAAAGTCAAATTAAATATTATCTAATTATTATTATGCAAATTACTTGTTATTACTTTAACTAATTATTTAAACCTTCATATTTCTCAACATTGAAAAAGTTAATATCAATTAAAATTTTAATGTCATCCTATCAACTGAAGAAGATTAACAAAAATGGTGCATTTAGAACTTTTTTTAGTTTGACAAGGATATATGCTGACAATAAATTTGAAGAGGTAACTACAAAAAAATGATTTAGTGGGATATGTATGTACTTGTATATGCAATTTGGTAGACACAGACGATTTTGGAGTCCTATTTAAATACTTTTTCTTATCCATTATATTTCGTACTATGCCATCACAGCCATTTATACATGAATCTGATGGCCGAGTCAAACTAAAACAACCTCCAACTCGGTAGCCACTATTGGTCAAACCACCCGTTGACTCGCCCTTAGTCTCGCCCAAGTCCACCGTCGGCCACATTCGTGCCTGGCTTCTTCCTCCGCCCCGGTTCTGATTACTCCCTCTCTGCCGCCACCGACGCGAACATCTGTTACATCTCCATCCCGTTCATCGCCGTTGACGGAACGGCTGGGGGATGGAGGCCGGCCTCAAGGGTTAACGGGCGAGCACCGCTGGGCCTGGAACCAGGCCCCGAGGCAAGAAGCCAGTCCTGCAGCTCCGCCTAGAGTGCGGCAGTGGAAGGCGAGAACAGGTGGAACTTGGCCCCCTCTATCGTGCGCTTCTGTAACCGGTGGCACTCCGCTAAGGTCCTCCACATCCTTGCTTACCTGCGCCAACGCGAGACAAAAGAGTTAGTGAGAGGTAATCTTATTGCTTGCAGAACAATGAGCTTTTAGATTTTGCCTTTTTTTCTCCTTTACAAGACTGATATCAGAATGATCACCGCTTCAATTTCAACATATAAATATCTGAATCAAGTGTTTCAAACAGATCATCAATACTTTGAAGAAAGAAACAGAGCATCAATTTAAAGGAAAGAATTAAAATGAGGATTTAGATTTCTTTTCCTCGACAGAAACACTATATGCAATTAAACAAAGAGATTACAGGAAATTAAAGAGATTCCAGAAGTAAGTCTTCACAAGCATCAGAAATCAAACAGATCATCAATACTTTGAAG